GATGTATGTTGCACTCAGCAAAGCTTGAGGGGCTGAGTCATATAAGCTTTTTGGAAGTCCCAGAAGTTGGACATGTAGCTATTGGATTTGTTGTTTACACTGTTGGTTTTGGTCTGGTATTTCCTCACTATTCCCCCATTCCTCACTTTCAGAATGGAAATGTATATACAGTTCCATTGTATGTTGAAGTGTGTAATTTGTTTTTTGACTTTACAGGGGCTTACAGTTAAGAGACTGCCTTGAGTCTCAGAAGATACTTTGGACTCTGGACTCTTGAATAATATTGAGACTGGTAAAGACTATGGGAACTTTGGAAAGTGTGTTGAATGCATTTTACATTTTATATGGTTATGAGTTGATGGGAGCCAGGGAGTAGAATGTGGTGGTTTGAATGACAATGTTCCCCAAGAGGCTCCAAGTATTTGGACACTTGATCCCCAGTTTGTGGGACTGTTTGGGGAGGGTCGTGGAACCTTTAGGAGGTGTGGCCACACTGGAGGAAACACATCACTGGGGTGGGCTTTGAGAGTTCATAAGGATTTCCAGGCTCTGTCTGTTTCCTGTGCCTGCTTAAAGGTGTCTTTACTTGGCTCTCTGTTCTGCCACCTCGTGATGCCATTATGAACTTTAAATCTGTGGAATTGTAAGTTCAAATGCTTTCTTTATAAGTTCCCTTGGTCATGGCATTTTTTTGTTTGTTTTAATATTTTATGTGTAGGGGTGTATTGCCTGCATGGAGGTTAAGTGCACCCATGTTGTGCAATGCCTGTGGAGGTCAGAAGAGGCTGTCAGATCCTCTGGATCTGGAGTTATGGACAGTTGTTAGCTTCCATGTGTGTGCTGGGGTTTGAACCTAGGTCTTCTCCAAGGACAACCACTGTTCTTAACTGCTGAGCCATTTTTCTAGCCCCTGGTCACGGTGTTTTATCACAGCAACAGAAAAGTGATGAATATAAGGGTTTTCATGTCCTGAGATATATTCAGTCTCTCTTTCATCTTTGTCATAGAATCTAGATATGCCTGACTCTATGGAGGTCCAAGGGTATAATGTATTTTCTCCTGTTCTAAGACTTTGTACTTCTAATTATATTGCAACTTTATTTCTATGTTGACTTCTTTTCAGCCCATAAAATCTCAACTTGATCTGCAACCACAAACGATATGCTTGTGAAAATGACTGGAGGAAAGGTTGTTGATGTCCAATACCACTCACTGATGAATCTTAAGGGAAAATGTATCTTTTTTGTGCAGGGTCTTTTAGAGACCGCATCTCCCTGCAGCCTCAGGTGTCCTGGAACTCACTATGTAGACCAGGCTGGCCTTGAACTCACAGAGATTCACCTGCCTCCGCTGCCCTGAGTGCTGGAATTAAAGCTGTGTGCCACCATGCCTGGTGGAAAAATATATCTTTATAATGGAGATATACTACTTTTTAAATAAATTCTAAAATGTTGCCTCATTAATATGTGTTGAACTAATATGTGGTTTCTAATGTAATCTATCATGAAAATACATCACTTATGTACTACATATGCCAAAAATATGTAACTGGAATATAGTAAAGGAAAAGCCATCATGCAAGTAGAATTTAGAGATGATCTACAAAACAATGGTTTATATTATTAAAAAATAGGTTGTCCTAGTTTGTTTCTTCATTGCTGTGACAAAACACTCTGACCCCTACCAACTTGGGGAGGAAAGGGTTTATTTATCTTACATCTCCCAGGTCACAGTTCATCAGGGAGCCCAAGGCAGGAATTCAGGGCAGGAACCTGGAGGCAGGAGCTGGAGCACAGTCCACAGAGGAACACTGCTCACTGATTTGTTCCCCTGGCCCCTGCTCATCCTGCTTTTCCATGCAACACAGGCCCACCTGCCCAGGGGTGGCACCACCCAGAGTGGACTGGGGACCTCCCACATCACACAACAATCAAGAAGGTGCCTCACAGACATGGCCACAGGCCAGTTCAGCGGAGGCAATTTCCCAATTGAGGCTCTCTCAACCTATGTGTGTCAAGTTGACACCAAAACTATCCAGACAGGTAGGTCTAGGGGCTGGAGAGATGGCTTGGCAGTGAAGAACACTGGCTGTTCTTGAATCCCAGCTCCCACATGGCAGCTAAAAACTGTCCATAACTCCAGTTCCAGGGGGTCCGACAGCCTCTTCCATCCTCTGCGGACATTGCACAAACAGGTGCACTTACCGGCATGTAGGCAATTCATGCATACACATAAAATCAAAATTAATAAAATATTTTTAGAAATACGTCTATGCTAAAAGAGAATAGAATATTATTATTTGGGATTATAAGAGAGGTTATAAAATCACAAGGTCAGACTGCAGCAGTTCTATCCATTTTAGAAAGGATTAAGCAAGATAGAAAAAATATTGGAAATATGTCTAAACTTTATATGCCAATATTTTTAGTAATGTGTTTTATTAATATTACATTTCTTTAAACATTTTTATTTTTTAATTTAATATGTATGAGTGTTTTGCATGGACACATGTCATGCAATGCCTACAGAGGCCAGAAGAGGATGTTGGATCTCCTGGAACTGGAGTTATGGCTGGTTGTAAACCACCATGTGGTGCTGGGAACCAAACCAGGGTCCTCTGTAAGAGCACACAGTGCTCTTAATGGCTGAGGCATCTCTCCAGCCTTTATTCATATTAAATTTCTTTACTGTGATAACTATATTATGGCTATGCAAAAAGATATCCTTTTTCTTAGGTGACATGCTGAAGTATTTAAAGTAACATGCTTAATGACTGCAGCTCACTATTACGTGGTTCAAGAAGTATGCACCTAGATAAGTGTATGTGCTGTACAGTGTGGTGCCATCCACATTTTAAGAGGTGCTAGGAAGAAAAATCCAATATAGCAAACTGTTATGATAGGCACATCCAGGTAACAGGTATATGAGTGTGCATTATATTCGCTAATTTGCTAATTTGGCAACTTTTCTGTAGATCTGAACATTTAAACAAAAATAAAATGGAGGGGTCTGGGGAGACGCCTCAGCAGGTAAAGTTGCTTGCAGCCAAGACTGATTACTTGGGTTCAGTTCCCAGAATCCATATAGTGGAAGGAAAGAACCAACTCTTATAAACTGTCCTCTGTCCTCCACACATATACTGTGGCTTGTGCACACCCCCACACATGCGTAAAATAAATAAATGAATAAAAATAAAATGTTGGGCAGCAGAAAAGTACATTTAAAATTTGTCTTTAGAAATGCCTTCATCGGGGGTTGAGAGATGGTTCAGTAGTTTAAAATAACTGGCTGCTCTTGTAGAGGACCAGGGTTCAGTTCCTAGCACCCACATAGTGACTCACAACTGCCTGTAACTCTAGTTCCAGGGGAATCCAATGTCCTTTTCTGGTCTCCGTAGGCACTACAAACATGGTACACATACATACATGCAGTGAAAACACTCATACACATAAGAAAATAAAAACACAAAAATTAAAAAAAATGCTTTCATAATCTACCTCCCTGGTATGTGAAGAGTCCATTTTTAATTAATTTTTAAATTTTTACTTATTTGTGTGTGTGTGCATGCATGTGGGCCTGTGTGCCACATCGGTGTGTGGAAGACACAGAACAAGTTGCAGGGTCAGTTTTCTCCTTCTACCATGTGGGTCCCTGGGATCAAACTCAGGTCCTCAAGCTGGCAGCAGGTGCCTTTAGCTGCGGAGCCATCTCACTGGCTCAAGTCTGCTCTATCCTCTCACGCATCCTATGTTTGTGTGGAATTTGTCCACGTTACCATCCTGGAGATTGAGTGCAGAGCCTCACTCACACTAAGCAAGTCATGTACCACTGAGCTACAGCTTCAGCTGCTTGTGTATCTTTCACTGTCATACAGGGTCTCCCTAAATTGCTCAGATTAGCCTTGAACTCACTCTGTAACCCAGACTAACCCTGAACTAGGGATCTTCCTGCTTCAGCCTCCCAAGTAGCTGGGATTACAAGTCTGTACCACCAGGTCTGGCTGTATGCGTTTTCAAAAATCATATTGTTGTCTTTCTATTCATTGGTGTATCTAAGGGGAGCATCCGTGTTCTGGCATCGGTCATTTATTATTTGTGGTGTGACCTTTGCAAATTACTTTGTTTCTCTTAAAAAATATTTCTTTGTTTTCATTTTATGTGTATGAGTATCTTGCCTGCATGTAAGTGCACCTGTGTTGTTCAAAACCTCAGAAGTCAGAAGAGGGCATTGGATTCCCTGGAGCTGCAGTTATGCATGGTTGTTAGCTACTATGTGGTTGCTGGTAATTGACCTCAGGTCCCCTTGAAAGAGCAGTCAGTGCTCTTAACCACTGAGTCATCTCTCCAGCCCCAC